GCCCGCGGTGGGGGCTCTCGCAGGGGCCGCCCGGGGCACGTTCACGGTGGGGGCCTGGCCACGGGTGGCCGTGGTGCCCTTCGGGGGCTCGGTGGCCATCAACTGCAGCCGCAGCGCCTGCCTGGGGGGCAACGCCACGCTGGGGCTGGAGACCCCCCTGACCGTGGATGTGGGGGCCGGCGGGCGCCGCTGGCAAAGCTTTCGGCTCCTCAATGTCTCCCAGTGGAGCCCCGGCACTGCCACGTGCTACGGGCGCTGCAGTGACACCCAAGTCAACGCCAGCACCAGCATCCTCGTCTACCGTGAGTGCCGGGGATCGGGGGGCTGGGCAGAGTGGGGGGCTGCGGTAGACGCTTCGGCGGTTGCTGCCTCCCAGGGTTGCCGGAGCGGGTGGTGCTGGAGCCGGTGCCGGCCATGGCGGTGGGTGACAGCCGTAACCTGACGTGCCGGGTGGTGGAGGTGGCTCCGGTGGGGAACCTGACAGTGACGTTGCGCCGAGGTGCCGAAACTCTGCGGACGGAAAGTTTCGGTGCCGCCGAGGGCAGTGCCAGCGTGGCCGTCAGTCACCTGCTGACCGCCAGCCCCGGGGACCACGGGCAGGACGTCACCTGCCACGCCGAGCTGTCCCTGCGGCCCCACGGGCCGCTCTTCGCCCGCGCCGCCGTCCCTGTCAAGCTGTCGGTATTCGGTAAGTCCCCGCCGCGCGGCCGGGCTCCGGCGTTGGTGCGGATGCTCCTGTCCAGGGGGAAGGAGTCAGGGAGCAGCTCAGCACCACCCTGTCTCCATCCCCATCCCAGTCTTACCTCCATTTCCATCCTGGTCCCATCTCCATTCTATTCTTGTCCCCAGTCCCCATCCCTATCCCCATTCCCATCCCAGTTTCAATTCCATTTCCATCCCAGTCCCATCCCCACCCCATTCTTACTCCCAGTCCCCATCCCCCTGCTGTCCCCATCCCAATTTCCAGCCCAATCCTGTCCCCATCCCCAGTCCCGTTCCCATTCCCATCCCAGTTTCAATTCCATTTCCATCCCAGTCCTGTCCCCATCCCCATTCCCATCCCAGTCCTGTTCCGTTCCCATCCCAGTCCCCGTTCCCGTCCCAGACTCTCTGGGACTTGCTAGCTGAGCACCGCAACTCTAATCCCGTTCGCGATGCCCACCGCGCCGTGTTGAATCCCTCCCTAGCCTTGTCCAGTGGCTGGGGCTGTGCCAGGATGCCTGGTCCCACCCTGGCACGGGGAATTCACCACCACCCTCCTGGCAGCTCCGCATCCTCACCAGAGCCCGGCGAGGGTCCGGCTGCTGGGATCCTCTACCTGGCACTGGGGTGCAGCCGGGGATGAGGCATGGCCCTGGTGACACCGCATCCCTGCAGCTCTTCCCGAGCCGCCCCAGCTCTGGGCTCCTGCCCACATTGAAGCCGGCACCACCGCCAACGCCAGCTGCCGGATCGCCGGCGCCTTCCCTGCCGGAGATGTCCGCTTCACCATCACCCTGGCAGAGCAGAGCCTAAACTTCTCCGTGGCAGCGGCCGGGGATGTGCTGACCGCCGTCACCGTGCTCTCACCCGGCACCCCGGGGTGGCAGGAGCTGACCTGCACTGCAGCAGTGGCAACGGCGGCACGGATGGCACGGAGGCAGCTCCACATCTACCGTAAGGTGCCGGGCACAGCGGGGCAATAACCGGACCCCATCCCAAAATCCCATTGAACCCACGGCACCTTCCCGCAGGCTTCCCAGCACCTGTCCTGGAGCTGAGCCCAGCGTCTTCACCGGCAGGCAGTGAGGTGATGGTGGTGTGCCGTGCCGGCGTCGCCGAACCCCCTGCCATCCGGCTGCAGCTCCGTGATGCCGACGGCGGGGTCCTGGCCGAGGGGCCGCAGTCCCAGCTGGAGCTGCGGTTGGTGGCCCGGCGGGAGGACGACGGGCGGCAATTCGGGTGCCGGGCCAGCCTGGCCATCGGCGATGGCGTGGTGACAAAGGACGCGGATGCCCGGCTCGCTGTGCTCTGTGAGCGCCACACCGGAGGGTCCCGGTTGTGCCCATGGCAGCCAGCGTGGGCTGCTCCCGGCATGCCCGGTGCATCCCTCCATCTTTTCCAGACATGCCCGAAATGGCGGCAAGCGACTGCCCCAGCAACCGCACGTGGCTGCGGGGGACACGGGAAGTGCTGTCCTGCCGTGCCGCCGGCAACCCCGTGCCCACCGTCGTCTGCAGCAGGAATGGCGTCGCCATCAGCACCGGGGAGCTGGAGTTGGTCACCCGTTCGCGAGCCGGCACCTACCTCTGCAATGCCACCAACAGCCTGGGGACACGGAGCCGGCTGGTCACCGTCCGCGTGGAGTGTGAGTTGTGCCGGCATCTCCCGCTGCGGCCATGCTGGCAGCGACTGTGCTAACCAGGACCCCTCTTTTCTCCCCCAAGATGAGCCCACCCTGACGGAGAGGGGCTGCCCGGCCCACCGCACCTGGGTGGAGGGGGAGCGGCGGGAGCTTGCGTGCCGCGCCGACGGGGACCCCCCGCCCAGCACCCGCTGTGCCCGTGACGGCGGTGCCACCCGTGCCCGGGGAAGCCGGGCCGTCAGTCGGGCCGATGCCGGCCGCTACATCTGCCGAGCCACCAACAAGCACGGCTCGGCCGTCCGCAGCGTCGTCGTCACCGTCGAGTGTGAGTGCCGGGGAGAGGATGAGGATCTGGTGGTGCCGGGGATGCCGTGGCTATGCTAGGGATGCCGTGTCCGTGCCAGGGATGCCATCTCCGTGCTGGGGATTCCATAGCCATGCCGGGGATTCCATAGCCGTGCCAGGGATCCCATAGCCAGGGATCCCGTACCAGTGCTGGGCACGGCATGGCCGTGCCAGGGATGCCATGACCATGCTGGGGATGCCATGGCTGGGATGCCGTGTCTGGTGGGGAGCCCGGCTGCCTTTGGGCCGGTCTCATCGGTGCAGGGTGGGGAGCAGGGGGTGGGCGGTTGGTCCCCACACCCTGTCGCTGGGTGGCGGGGGCACCTGGCACCCAGCCCCCCCCTCCCGCCGTGTTCCCTCCCGGTTTGCAGACGAGCCGAGCATCGGCGAGACGGGCTGCCCGGCACAGCGGCTCTGGGTGGAGGGGACGCCGGCGGAGCTGGCCTGTGCCGCCAGCGGGAACCCCCCACCCCGCGTCGCCTGCGCCAAGCTGGGGGATGGCCAGGACCCCCCCCCGGCAAGCCCCAACGTCACCCGTGCCCACGCCGGCACCTACCAGTGCCAGGCCACCAACACCCACGGCTCTGCCCTCCGCAACGTCACCGTCGCTGTTGAGTGTGAGTGCGGGGAGTGGCTTTTTTGGGGGTGGAAAAGGGGGTTTCGGTTGTTTTTAAACGCAGGGCGGTGTTTTTGGCTGATGGACGGTGCCACCCCGGTGCAGACAGCCCTGTGGCAGTGAGCCTGCGCGTGCTGCCCTCCGCCAACGTCTCGCGCGGCGCCAGCTTCAGCGTGGAGTGCCGCGCCGAGGGGCTGCCCACCCCCACCTACGGGTGGGCGCTGCCCCCCGCCAACAACCTCCGCTTCGCCGCCGATAACCGCTCGGTCGCCGTAGCCGGTGCCGCCGCCGCCAACCGGGGTCTTTACACCTGCACCGCGACCAACAGGCACGGCCGGCGAGCCGGCAGCGTGATGGTCCAGGTGGACGGTGAGATGGGGTGAATTGGTAAAGGGGAGGGGGGACAGACCTCTCCATCACCGCTGCGGCGTCACCAGCACCTTCCCGCCTCGCAGAGAGCCGGCTGGCGCTGGTGGCCTCGCTGGGCTCCTTGGGTGCCGTCACCGCGGTGGGTTTGGCGGCCGCCGGCGGTTATTACCTGAAGTCGACGGCGTGTAAGAAGGGAGAATACAATGTGCGGGATGCCGAGGGCTCCTCCGAAGCCGCCTGCCTGCACCGGCAACGGCACGACCGCGGCGAGATTTACGGCATCCAGCTCACCCAGCCGTAACTGGGAACATCCCCGTCCCGGGTGGGATGGAGGTTTGGGGGTTCCCCCGTGTACCCTCCACCCCGGCCACAATGGGGTTTTGAGGGGAATTCGGGGTGGGGTTGGGGTTTTTGGGGGGTGTTTTTTAACCATTTCAGTGCTGTGCCAAGGGCGGCACAGCTGTAACTCAGGGGAGGGATGCTCAGGGGGGGCCGTGGCCGCTGGCTCGGCTCTTCCCCGGGGGATAAAGCAACACCCAATAAATAATTCCGTTTTAATGGGAGGGAGGAAGATGGTGACTCCAGCTGCAGGGCGGGGGACGGCATTAAGGCTCCCTGGTGTCCGGGCTCCTGGGGGGGTCCATCCTATCTCGCACCTCACAAATAAGGAGCCCAGTGGGGGTGTCCCCGAGCCCGACCCCCTGCCACCCATGGGGGGGTCCGGTGGGGGCCGGGGCTCAGCCCAGCCTCAGCTCTGGATCCCACTGGAAAATCCTGGAGCTGCCCTGGAAAGCCCTCGCCTTCCTGCCCGTACGGCCACCCTTCCTGCCTGCTCTCCCCAAACCTGGACCCTGCTTCCCTGTCCCCAAGCCCTGTCCCATGTCCCCAGCCCACAGCTGGAGATGAGACCCCCCCCCCCCCCAGCCTGCCCGCCACCTCACTGTCCCCAGCCAACTCCAAGGACCCCCACCCCATCCACCACCTCGTTGTCCCCAAACCCCATCCCACATCCCCAGCCCTCACCCAGGACCCCCCATCCTCGTCCTCACAGCTCCCTGCCGGGGCCACCAAACCACCGGTGATGGCATCCAGACCCAGCCAAGCACCGGCTCCCCAAAGTCGTGTCCCCCCCAATGCCGCAACTGTCACCCTGTGCCCCCCCCCGGAGCAGGTGACACCGGGACACACCAAGCTGCCATCAGCACCAGGACATTTAATTGCTCCCAAGTGACCCCGACACCCCCCCAAGCCACCACCACCCCCAGGTCTCCACTGCCGTCACCGCCGCCACCGTCGTCCCCTCGCCGCTGCCGGGGTCCTCGCCGTCACCTCCTCCCGCTGCCGGCCGGGTGACACTGCTCCCCGCAGTGGGGACACTGGGGACGGGGGGTCCCGCTCTTCCCGGGGATGTTCCAGCACCGTCGGCACCGCACACGGTATTTCTTGTACCTGGGAGAAATCCCTGCGGTGAAGCCGGTGCCAGGGGTCTGGGGGGGTCCCGGCAGAGTCGGGGTGTCACTGGGGGGGTGTCCCTGTCCCCTACCTGATGCCACAGGCGTTGCAGAGGGGGGTCCCGTTTTCGGCTGCCCGCCAGAGCGGGGTCCGGCGTGTCTTGCAGGAGGCACAGCGCTTGCTCCCTGTGGGGGACACGCAGCTGCACCCCCAAACCCCAGCGGTGTTGGGGTGTGTGGGCTGGAGACACCCCCAAATCCACCCCCCCCCGGTCTTACCCTGGGTGGGGGGAGTGTCGTCCTCTGAGCTGCTGCCCGCTCCGGGGGGCCTGGCTGGGGGGCTGCTCTCCTGGCTCCGGCTGGGATCCCTGCAGGAAAGGGGGGTCAGGGGGAGCATGGGGACACCCCTGGAACAGGGATAATCCCCCCCCAGGAAAGGGGCCCCCCCTCAGGGGCTGCCAGGTCCCCGGGGGCCATGGCCAGGGAGGGGGGACGGGGTGTCTGGCCTGGTGGGAAAGGGGATGAGGGGAGAGAAGGTGCAGCCGGACAGCCGGATGATACAGCCCAAGTTCCAGGGATGCCCGGAGGTGCAGACGGACAGACAGACAGCGTAGCCCAGGGATGCATCCAGACAGACGGACGGTGCAGCCCAAGGTCCAGGGGTTTCAACCCGGACAGACGGACGGTGCAGCCAAAAGTCTGGGGGTGCCCAGGGGTGCATCCGGACAGACGGACAGTGCAGCCCAAGGTCCAGGGGTTTCAACCCGGACAGACGGACGGTGCAGCCAAAAGTCTGGGGGTGCCCAGGGGTGCATCCGGACAGACGGACAGCGAGGCCGGGACCCGGTACCTGCTGCCGCGGGCGGTGATGAGGAGGCGGCAGCCCTCGGCGTTGCCGTCAGGGAGGCCCAGGCGCATGCGGAGGGTCACCCCGCGGAAAGAGGGGTCCCGGG